AGAGTCCTAGACTTGATATCAGAGGATCTACGTTCAAATCTTGGCTCTGTCACTTACCATAGATCTGGGTGACCTTGGACAAAGCACTTAACCTCTCTCTCAGCTTCAATTTCCTCTTGTATAAAATGAGGAAGGCTGGACTAGCTGGAAGCATCAACCTTGCTCGGAGAAGCAGACACAAAAAGGAAGATTATAGGTGGAGAAGTCTAACAGATCTAAATCGATCAAAAGTACAGATCTATTTAGATCTATAAAATCTAATGGGTCGATATAGATCGATTTGGATCTATAAAGTCTAATGGGTCTAAATCGATCAAATCTAATAGATCAGAAACTCAGACCAGATCTGGAAGCTGGAGGACACAGGAGCCAAACACATTCCACACCATCACTACAAAGAAGTTTCCATGGGTTCTAAGAGGCAGGTCAGAATCTTAGTTTCTTACCTACTTCCCTACCTAAGAAGATCTCCGCAGGATCTTTCACTCCAGGACCAAAAGCATGTCTATCTGTGCCTCATTCTTACCGGGATACCCCCACCTAGAGAGGCTCTGTTTCAATCGCTCACAGAGAGTGCTAGACTGGAGTCAGAAAATCAAGCTGCTTCTTGGACACAGCTCTGTGTAATCTTAGGCAAGTCATTGAACTTCTCTCTGTGATTCCATTTCCTCTTCTGTAAAATGAAGGCAATTATACATGCCCTAGTTCCCTCAGCAGGTTGTTGTGAAGATAAAGTGAGATTAGAGATGTGTGAACACACTCTGGAAAGTTAAAAGCATTGCACAAATATAATAAGCTGCTCGTGGGGGAAGGTGTGGAGAGAAATCACAGGGACACCCTGAGAAATCTTCACCCTTTGGCCACCCAGTGAGCCCTGGTTTCCTATCATCAACCAGGAGGGTATTGTCTCCTGACTGGCCCCCATATCCTGGCCCTGCTTAAGGAGGAGGGTCCTGGGCCTCAATGAGGAAGCAGGTCAGAAAAGGAGTGGTGGGGGGTGAGGGAGATGAGGGATTCAGGGAACATTCTAACCTTCCAAGTACCATGTGGTGAGGGAGGAAATGAGCCAGGGAGAAGAGAGAGCACACAGGAGAGGTGGAAACAAATCATCAAATCTAGACAGAGAAGCAGCTCCCTACATAGCAGCACCCCCTCTCTGCAACCCCGCCTCCCCCCCCAGCTTCGAGAACTGCAGCCTCCCTCCCACTTTGCTTTCCGCATTTTCCAGCCTCTCTCTGTCTCTGGCTAAGCCCCCATTGCTGGAACCGGACAGGGAACAATATCAGGCAGGTGCCGGAGAAGCAGGGAGTGAAAGACCCAGGCCGGTGTCATTGTCAACGTTCAGCCAAGTGCAAAAAAGCAATTTACTTGTCACGGTTTCTGCTCTTTGCTTAAATTTTTAAAATTCTTCCAATTTTAACCATCCGAGGTGTCCTGAGTTACTTGGATAAGGGGTCTTATTAAATTCCAGGCTTTCATTCAGTGGGGTCCTGGCCAGGGGAGGGAGAGAGAAAGGGCAGAACTGAAACTCCCAGCTAACAGGGCAGGACAGTGTCCTCCTCTGGCTGTGCTCCCAGAAATATAGCTTTGATTTCAGGGTGACAGGCGGGGGTCCCTGCCGGGTCACCCTGGAGCTTGCATAGGTCTGTGTCTCCTGGTGACAGGAAGACACTGAAACACAACTGGCTGGCCTGGGCCTTGTGGCCCCTATAGGAGCACAGTGGAAAACCCCAGAAATCACATTTTTAGATTTGAAGACAACTTTAAAAAAAAAAAAAAGGCAAACAGGGAAGATGTGGGGTTTTTTTTTCTATTTTGCAGCAAAACTGCATTACTCACTGCATGGATTAGAGATGAGAAACAGAGATGGAAGGAATGAGAATTTTGTGCTAGAGGGAACTTTAGAACATAGACTGTTTGAGCTGGAAGGGGCCTAAAGATAGCTTAGTCCAATTCCCTTCATTTTACAGATAAATAACATGAAGCCCAGAGCCATGGGACTTGCTAGGCCATAAAGGCAGGGAAGGAGCTAAGACCACAGCTCCATCTTCCTGCTGAGGCTAAGGCTGTCTGCCAAACAGCAATGCCTCACTAGCATCATTCCACCTGCCTTGAATTTTTCTCAATTACTGACATGAGGCTATTCAAAAATTTAAATAAAGCCAACAAAACATCTTTGTCTTTTCTTCTCCTAAAACTACCTCTATTGCTCTCCAGCTAATGCACTTCTCCTCGACACCCTGGTGTCTGAAAGTGCCCAGCATCCTTCACCTTCATCTTTCTAATTTTTCCCACAAAGTCACTGTGTGATAGAGGAGAGATAGCTATACACATCAGCTGGGGATTAGGACCTCAAAGTACTTCTTTCAGGGGAGGGGGATTCTAGCATAATAGCCCATAACCCCTTCAGGCATGGTTGTGAACCCAAGACTGCTCTGAGAAGGGAGAGAGAGAAGCTATGCCCCTTCACCCTGGGATGCTGGGGGTAGGGCGAGAGTATGGAGGTCAATGTCCTCAATAGAAAGGGTTTGGGAGGCTACTGGAATATGAGGTTCTATGTCTAAGGTTGCCTCACTCAGACAGACCACCCAACAGCTCTCCAGAAGCACTAGCTCTTATTCTAGTGGGGGGCGGGAGGTGGAGGTCAGGGGAGGAGGAAAGAGGCTCAGCTTCTTACAAACACAAAGACACAAAAACAAAGACCACACACAAAACCTTCTTCAGGCCCTACTTCAGGAAGCTTGGGCAGTGGCCCCAGGCAGGTATCCACATCAAAAAGCTAATGGTGGCACTATTACATGCCTCCTCCTCCTCCTTTACCAAGCCCTCCTCTCCTCCCTACCATTCAGAGGGCCCACTTACTTAATAAAGACTCAATGTGTTGGCACCACTCAAAATGAATCATAGACTATTAGAGCTGGAAAGGATCTCAGAGGATCTCTAAGTCCAGCCCCTTCATCTCATATCTAAGGACTAGCCCAGCTAGGAAACACAGTACTGAATACAGTCCTGGCACTTCAGGCCCTGACCTCCATCTGTGACCAAGAGTCTCACCTCCCTCCTTACAACCCCCACACTACTCCCTGGGACTAACACAGGGTCACATCTGCTCTTGCAAACGGGCTGGTCTTAAGTTACTGGCTCCTGCCTTATCGATCCACGGAGCCACCCGGGACGCTAGCCACTGACCCTAGGCAGCCATGCAGGAGTAAAGGACAGTCTGTCCAACCCCGGCCCCGAAACCCAATCATCTGGCAAGCTGACCCTAACTGCCCAGTGTGCTTAACTTCCAGAATTGTTGCTAACGACTCCCCAAAGGGGTGGGGGTGGCAGCAAGCAGCCAAGGCATCTGTCCCCAGGACCTGAAGAACAGGTCTTCCCTGGGGCAAAGAAAAATGATTAGAAGGGGAGGGGACAGGGCAGGGAGAAGAGGTGGCTGAAGTCCCCCTACACATATATCCCAGAGACCCTAAAAAGCCCTACAGTAGTTCTTTGACACTTCTACTATCTCTAGGATGTTATGGGTTCCCCTGTTAAATTGGACAATTATCCAGCACACAACTCCTGGCATTCCCACTAAAAAATCTGGGAAACTACAGATTTTCCCCCAGCTCTCTTATCATCCCGGTTACCTGGCATTGTAAGGGTCCAGTACAAAGGGCTAGCCTCCCCTGGACATATTCCCACACCTGCCCTCAGTCAAGTCAGGGGGAATGGGGGAGGTGCATAATCCCCTTGGCTAGAGTCCAGCTCCTCTCACTGGTCTCCTCCCTCCCTGCCCCAGGTGGGTGGGGGCCCCAGCAGCTGGGGCTTCAGGCTTCCTCCCTCCCTCTACCCCCCCCCAAGTGGAGAGGCCGCCCCTGGTCTGGTTCTAATCGTAGCTGAGGCGGCTCTCTCTCTCCTTTTTTTCCTTCTTTTCATTATTTCATGGTTTTGGAAGCCGGCGCGTTCCAACTGTCTGCATGCCAATAACTTCCCCAAGTCTGAAGGCTGCTGAAGTAAGAGATCAGATTTTAGCAAGTGCTTTCCAGGCGGGGCGCCAGCCCCTCTCTTGATTCACTGAGAACTACGAAGGGGAACAAGCCGAGGTCTGAGCAACCTTCAGCGAATGAGTGAGGACTCGCAGTTCATCCCGCTGCCCCCGATGGGTGCTGTCCACCTAGCCCGGCTAGCCCTCACACAATCAAGGTCTTTCTCCCTTTTTGTCTCTTTCTTCCTCCTCACCACCCCCTTCCCCCCCTTCTTCCTTCTCCTTTCTCTTTCCCTCTCTCGAAATGCAGCAAACGCCTTTGAAACCACAGAGTAATTTACAGCTGAAGGTTTCTCTCTGGACTAGAAATCAGCTCTGCTGAAATAAGGAGTCTTTTTGTTTTTACAATCTAGCAGCAATTTTCAGGGAAAATATGTCAGACTCCTCGCATGGGTCTTGGATCTGGTCCTATTTCTGCAGCTGATCAGCATCTCCCCACATCAAACAGTCAAGGAGAAAACACACACACACCACACACACACACACACACACACACACACACACACATCAGGTTGAGATACACAACGGAGAACCTGGGGGCGGGCTGTGTCCCCCACTGACACACTTTCACTCCAGAGCACCTACGTGCTTTCCACCCCTCCAGCATCCCAAGAACAGGTGCACTGCCAATTGCGCCTCCCTCCCGGGCCGTTCCAACCCCCGCTGCCCAGGGCCACCAGCAAAAAAAAAAAAAGGAATCAAGAGGCTGGGGGAAGAGAGGCATCGGGCTGGAAGCCGGGGGGGGGGGGGGCAGGTTGCTGGAGAAGGACTCCGGCAAGCGGCAGAGACTGGAAAACCCGGAGCAGCCTGAGCGCACCCTCCACCCGGGAGACCACTAGGGCTAGGGACAGGACAAGCCACCCGGACGGGGAGAACCAAAGCGGCCTGAGCCCTGGCACCTGCCGCCGGGGAGGGTGGGTCCGCGTCCCCCGGTGCCCGCCCGTGGGGAGAGCCCAGAAATGTCACGTACCTGTACCTGTAAGCACAGCAGCAGGAAGTGTAAACATCTGCAGGGAGGAGAGAGAGTGAGAGCCGGTCAGACGGGGAGCTGGATACCCGGGACGGCCGCGGAGGGCAGCCGCCACGGGGTGGGAGTGGTGAGCGGGGACGGAGAGTGGACAGACATCGGGGGACCGGACAGACGCTGGGGGCGAAAGGGGGGAAGGGCGGGGGAAAGGCTAAAGGGGCACCCGAGGACCCAGCCCGGGAGGCGCGGCGCTTACAGGCAAGTGCAGGCGGAGAACACTGAATACATCGCTGAGAAGGGAGGAAGGCGGCGGCTTCTAGCCCGAGGTCACGTCACTGCGCCGGGGCCCGGGTCCCAGCCTGGACATGAGAGGCGGCGAGCTACAGCGGGCGGCGCCGCGCGGCTCTGGGGGGGCTCCAGCGGCTCCGCTCCGCGGGGCCGGGCCGGGGGCCGGGGAGGACGAGGACGGGAGCGGGCGCCGCCGCCAACGCCGCCGCTGCTGCTGCTGCTGCTCCGCTGCCCTGCCGGCCGCTCCCTGCGGCATCAGCGCCCCCGCTCCTGCCGCCTCCTCTGCCGGGGCCCTGCGCCCTCGGGGGGTCGGAGGAGCTGGCACTTCAGTGGACCGGGAACTTCCGAGGCCCGGGGAGGGGGTGCCCGCCCGCGGCTAGCCTCCCGGGGACGCTTCGCGCTCGGCTCCCGGGCGCCGGGGCTTGGGGCTCTGACCCGCTGCCGCTGGAAGCCTAGTCTCGTCTGCGGCGCAAGCAGGTTATTCCGGGGACAGCATGGCCGGCCGGGCGGAAAGGTCGGGCGGGGCTGGCTCTTAGGGGGGTGGCGCGGGGATGGGGGGTCAGGGCGCGGGGGCCGGGGCGCACCGCTTCGGGGAGGCGTTAAGGCCGCTCCGTCTGGGCTCCCGCCGGCTCATGTTTCCTCCTCGGCCCGTCTCCGTCCGTCCGCATCACCACCTCCCACCACAGGCGGCGGCCGGGGCGTTTTCAACGCGGGCGGCGAGGGAGGGGGGCCGGGGGGGGGCGTGGGGGAGGGAGGGCCGGGGCCGGAGCGAAGCCGGCACAATGAGGATGCGGGGCTGGGGGCTCCCCCCTCGGGGCGCGGCCGGACGGGAGCTCAGCTCAGCGGTGTGCACCGCGCCCACATCAAAGGCGGCTCTGGAGCGGCACCGGCGGCGCAGCCGCCGCCTCCTCCTTCTCCTTCTCCTTCTCCTCCTCCTCCTCCTCCTCCTCCTCCTCCTCCTCCGCCCGGCTCCTGGCTGAAAAAAGGGGGTGGGGTGGGGGAGGGGGGCGCTCGGCGACGGTACCGGCTTCTCCGAGGGGCAGGGCGAGGAGGCGCCGCAGCTTATTCAACAGAAGTCAGTCTCGGTCCGCTGAGCCGGGTCTGCGGAGCCGCGGAGCCGTCGGAACTCGCGGGCGCAGCTACGCCGCGGACTGACTGCCCGCTCCGCGCCCCTGCCGGCCGCGGCCAAACTCCAGAGCTCATTTCCAGCCCGTCAGGCACTGAGCGTCCTCGCACTCGCACACTGACTGGCGCTCAGGCGGGGAGGGGGAGCGGCGGGGCGAGGGGGCGGGACAGGCCCAGCCCCCGGGGCGGCTCCGGGGAGGAGGGGAGAGGGAGAGGCGGCAACGCACCCCGCGGGCCCACGCGAGATCGCGCCACCTCCTCCCCGCAGCTCCCCGACGGTCGTCCCACTCCGAGCTGCCCGAAGCGTGAAGCCTTAGCGCGGATGCTCCACGGTCCACAAAGTCTCGGCATAAAGCATTTGCACTCTGCTTCGCCTCCTAACTCCTAGCAACTCCCCGAACCCCGACCGGCTCGTTCTGCCTGCTTACGGGACTGAGGCAATTCCACCTCCCGCCATTCTCCTTTTTGGGGGGCCCCCGGGACGCCCCCTCCGGGGTCTCTCAAGCCTCTGGCCATTGCTTTCTTAAGTCCAAACGGCTCTGGAAACGCACGGCTGCCACCTAGTGCTCCCGAAGTGCCTACGCGCCATCGTAGCCTATCACCCTAACAAGCCTGACCCCAATCAACTCTGGTCAGGGGCTCAACTTCCCTCAATCCTTTAATCCCTTTCCACCCCCACCCCCACGCCATCCTCACCCTCGTCATTCACAAACAGTTGGGGCCCTAGACCTTTTATTTCACTGTGTAGATTTTCAAACTGATGGTTGCTCTTTACAAAGCGAAGCCTTCCCTCCACATGTGCAAGTTCCCACAGTTGCCTTACCCTCTCCCCTTTTCAGACTGGTCTAGAGCTTATGGTCACTAGAAAAACAGGAGAAAGCAGATATCTGGGGGCTTTGAAATCTATTCTTTTGGGTAAGAAAGAAAAATTAAGGTTTGCATTCTGAAGCATAGTTAAATATGGTAGAAACTGCCCGATTCAGGAGGGGTGGGGTGGTGCTTTACCCGGAACAGAAAACAATGCACCCAAGCCGGGCCTGCCACCATACAATCACACTAGGTCAGGTGTCAAGCTGATTGGATCTAAAATAATTTTACCACAGCTAAAGTAACATCTCAACTCCCAGATTAACAAGTGACAATGCAAAAGGAGGAAAAACTCTTGTGGTAGCTAAACTTATGAGGCACCCGTAAGTCCACACATTAAAATGCAGTAACTGGTGACGAGGTCTGACCTACAAATGGCAGATATATCCTACTGGAAGGGACCACTAGCACCACCTCTGGGCACCTGGCAGGGTCTTACCTTTCAAAACCAGTAGCTAACAAGTTTGGCTAGGTATGGACCTTAGGCCTCAAAATTGCACTGTTCAACTTGATAAAACTTACCTTTTATGGAAAAGTGTCATTTGTTACCCTAAGATATCCTAAAGTCAGCCCCTGCTACGAATGCATTTTCCCAATGATATTGTCCCAATGCCACTTGTGATTTCATTGGTGTATAATTCCCAATGTGCAAAACTGAGGTTAAGCGACTTGATCATGGTCACACAAATTACACCTATCAGAACTCATCTTCAAAGCAGCTTTCTCTCCCCAAAACCAGCCTCTATCCATTATACTATGCTACCCTTCACAGGATAGGGTCAGATCTATGCTACCCTAAGTCACAATATTCCTACCTCCACACAGCTTGTGTACTCCAACAGTCAAGGTCTTATAAAGTGAAGTTTCTCTCAAATTCACCTAATTCATAACATTACTAATACCTCTTCTATTACCAAGTCTTCTTCCCTAAAGCAGAAAAAACTACTAATTCTTAGGATATTTGTACCAGTTAAAGAAACTTAGAAGATTTAGGAAGTAGTTGCCCGGCTTTCAAAACAGCATTATCAACAACACAATCAATACCTCCAGCACTGCTGGCCCCAAATCACCTCCAACCATCCACGACCACTGTGGGCCAGTTTAAAGGACTTCTGGTGCAACAGATTTGAGTTTTCGACCTTAAGTCAAGAAGACCCTCAGACACTAGCTGTGAGATCCCCTGGGCCAGTCACTTAACTAGTACACCAAAGACTCCGCTCTATAAAATGGTGTTGGGGCAGCTACCTCACAGGGTTGAGGATACAATGTTGAGTGCCTAGCAAACTTTAAGGCACTATACAGATTCTATTATGAAGGACTGATGAGAAAATGAGTTGGCAGTGAAGGTGGAAAAGGGACAATACTACTGTGCATCTGTAACACAAAGACAACTGCAGGGACAATTTCTGACCAAAGCCCAATGAATCTGTTTTGGATATGAAATCCTTTTCATTGAACTAGAAAACATCCCCATGTAAGATGACCTAATTGATCTAAAATCACCCAACTGATTTCCAGTCAATGAAGTTACAAAATGTTTGTCCTATCTTTGAAGCATTTCTTTGTGAAATCAGAATTCAGTTCTGTTCAGTCAAATCCAGACTGAGAAACCGTAAAAAGTGAATACGCACATCTTTCAAAAACCATGTTGACAATTAACAAAATCAAGGTTCAAACCTGGTGTGACAAATCTTTAGTTTTGGGACTACCAAATGTTATTTTTATGTACTAAACTCTGGAATTTTTCTCCTCTGATATTAAGGAGTACATAAAAGTTTACAGAACGCCAGGGAGAACACCCCCTTCCTCCTAGAAGAGTGCTTGATAAAAGATGCGAACAGCATCACTGCCTACTACTAGATAAAATTCTTTCAGTGTTTCTTATTTTATATTTTAGGAAAACTGAAAATAGCAGTCAAAATTAAATTCCACTATTTAAAAGGGAAATACTAGGGTAAGTTACTTCATAGCTCAATCAATCCTCAAGGCTGCAATACAGGCAGAAAAACACCTTTCCATGGATTCCTGGTATTTTGGGTATTCCTTCTAAAGGAAGGAATCCATTCACACCTGTCTACATATATCCTCCAAAGCTAATATGCCAAAATGCCCCAGCAATCATAATACTTCCACCCACCAGAGCCAGATCAAAATGTAATGGGGAAATATCTAACAAATACGAAACTACCTTTTGCTGTTCTCAACCCCTATTTGTTTGGCACTACTGCCAAAAGGACCCAAACAATGTCCTGGAAGCCAACTGCCTGGGGAATATAGCAGAATTTGGGCTGTCTAGATAGCTATCAGTTCTCAGTACCAACCACCTCAACTTTTTTTTCTAAATGGTAAAGCAGCACTCCAAACCATTGTTGGTAGGTAACACGCTACACCCTATTTATATTTATCACTCCACTGCCATTTGGGTCACAGTATACTCCCATCTTCATCTAGTGCTCTGTACCTGAACTGCTGGTTCACATCTACACACAGCTTTTATGTTTCTTTGGCCCTTTTAAAAACTGCTAATTTACTGCCTATGGTCAAATAGATAATAATTGGCAGGCAGAGGACATGTGTATTCTATCACACACGTCTCCATTTCTCCCCGTAATGTTTCAACCACCAAAGACCTTTGGAAATATTAGAATTATTTCCAAACCAGAAACTTTGATTATTTGCTTCACCAATAAATGACTTGTTATAGGCTAATTAGCCTGCTAGGGAAGACCTATACAGCCACTCAACACTTTTTATCTGATAGAGAAAACAACAAGCCTTCACAAGCTTACTGGGCTCAGCAAATTTCTGTTCAGCAGCGCCTGATATAACTGTTCTGATTATTACCCTTTCCCAACTAAACCAGAAAAACCTCACCCTGGAAATCTTTCTAAAGAGATCAGAAAGAAGCTTTTCCCCATTGTAAAATAGTGAACTTTTGTAAGGATTTTACTCTATACTCTTGCTTAAGGATCATCATCATCATCATCATCATGTGTGCTGTTAAGAGGTAGAGAGAGCTTGAGAATGGGTTGAATTTGTCCCAACCTCAGGGTGGATGTATCCTTGGAATTTTAAAAGGAATTCAATTTCAGGTTTTTTTTTTGAGGGGAACAGTGAGCCAAACTCCCTCCCCCAGACAAACTGGCAAGGCTTCTTCCAAGTTTTCTGCCACAAAATGCCCTTCAGCTAAACCAAAGCGAGGGTGACTGCAGGGAGACACAACAAGGAACTCAATAGTCAATTGCAACTTTATATTTCAGGCATTCAAGTATAATATTCAGATACAGTTCCATTTCTAAGAGAAACCATACCAAAGATCCCAGGAAACAGTAAGAAAACATTTGCTACTACACTCCTACATAAGCCAGTTCTGTATGACATGCATCACAAGTATCTGGGTAAGGGAGGAAAGAAGACTGGTTAGACTGCTTTAGAACAGAGAATTGGCAATCTCATCTAAACTAGTGAAATGTGAAAGTTAATTGAAAAGATAAGTTCCAAATAAACAATAAAATCTTAATCAAGGTTTGCACTCCTCAAGCCACTTTTCCACTGACCTTTAAACTGTTCCACCTAAAGCTTAACTTTAGCTAATTAAATTTGAGAGAGGCAGCATGGAACAGTGAATAGAGAGCTGGCCTTGGAGTCAGGAAGCCCTGGGTTCAAGTCCTGCCTCTCATTTGCTTAGTGACTTTTTGGAAGTCACTTAACCTCTCTCAGTGCCTCCAGGCAAATAATAAATTAGAGAAGGTGCAGAACTACATTGTTAGAGGAAGTTCCTCACCAGGAGCTCCCTATACCAATGCAAATCACACGTCCCATAAAAAACAAATGAATACAAATCTGAAGCATTACATTTTGTAAGTGCCCTTGCATAATCCCAAATCAAAATGGAGATATTCCTTCCCATCCACAAAATAAAGAAACAATATTACTTTATTAAAATACTGAATTTATTTCACATGTATACTTTGTCTCCCCACCATTTCCATTTGTCTGACCACCACTACTACTATGCCCTATCATAACATTCCATACATACTTAAATGAAGCAAAGGGTGGAGTTCCATCTTTGAAAACTAAACAGGCATTTTGGACAACACATTCTTGGCAAAGTAATCTGGACGACATTTATCAGACACGGTAGGGAAAGTTCTCACTCTGCATTATAAAAAGGACAGCCAGATATCAACTGTTACAGAAATAAGACGGAAAATTTTAACAAACTGTTCAAACTTATTTTCTTAAAGAGATTTCCTCCACAGCCAGAGATCTTGAATAGCCTGAAAATGAAAAGAAATGTGGTCAAAGAACTCAACACCACATAGGCATTAATAAATTAAACTTCTTTGCACAATTCTTAATATCTTTTTCCCTTCTCTGTTAAGGTTTACAACTGCAAAAGATAATGAAGACCAAATATTATGATTAAAAACTTTAAAAAGACTTGTAATTGGTTCACAAAAAACACCCCTCAACCAAGACTTCTAAAAAGCGACTAACAAAGCACTTCAAAGGGTTTTTTGAAAAGTCTGTTTGTTACCTTACATACATCAAGCTTTAAAAATCTCATCTATAAAAGGATTTTCAGCAAAGGAAAGCAAGAGGAAGGGTGGGGACCAGTTTGGCAAAAACTGGCTGAACTTCACATGCCCCTGACTTATGTCAGATCAACTTCAGTAGTGAAGGCTAACTGCCTTCACAACATTTTCTCTCACAAATTTGTGATTGTTGATCAGATACTTGGAACAAGTAAACTCTAAAACAGTGCAGAGTCAGGAAAACATAAAATTTTCTTCCAGTGACAAAATTATTTCAGTTACAGGAATTAAGAGAAATTTAACACAGTTTTAACCTAATGCAAGTTGAGTAATAACTAATTCAGCAACTTGCTTCCCGATTCCACCTTCTGGCTTAAACACTTAGGTTAGCTGACTTTGGGAAGAAGGTAATCTAGTTCCCATAAGGTCTAACAGAGAAAAGTCTCCCCCACACCCCTACCCCCCCCCAAAAAAAAGCTAAGACCAGACTGGCCCAAGTGGCCAAATTCAGCAGCAAGGAAAACCACAGCTCATTTCCTCAACCAATATGGTGCCAAAAGTAAAGTTCTGTGGGTTTAGTAACCAAGAGATAATTTACCAGCCATACAAAAGCTGGAAAAAATGTACTAAAATATTAACTTCTATATCTCTGCCAACTAAATCCCTAAAACAACTTCCATTTATTTAATCTGAAGTATTGTCTGTGGTTAGGAACCTTTTTAAATAAGCCAAAACATGGAGATGAAAAGTGTAAAAGGAGAATCACAATAAATCATGATGAAAAACTTATTTGGATTTTGTCAAGTTCCCAGAAAATTCAGTTACCTCCTGATCAGACATCCGGAAGCAATTCTTTACATAGTTGATGAATTTGCCTTCCACTTTTGGGAGGGAACCACCCTATAGAGACAAAACCATGAAAGGTTAAACACAAAAATATACCTCTAATAGTTTATACCAAGATGCTATTAAGTAGAAGCCTCCAAGATAAAGAGCCAGGCTATTAATCAAAAGTAACTTCTTCTTTGTTACTAAGGTATCCATTAACTAGAAAATGTCTTTTTGAGGCACTATCCATGGAAGCTGTAATTACTTCAGAGGTTTATATGTACCTTACAAAAAAGTGCCACATTTACTTCAAGAGTATTGTCCAAGTTGAGCAATTCTATCAATGTGAAAATTAGAAAGCTAAGCCAATACACTACCCTACATACTGAACAAAATCAAACCCTGGGAGTTTATGTCAACTGCTCCCAATATGAATTAGATCTAAACCCCTGGTATTACAATTTATGCCTGATGGTCAGGATTGCTTTGTTCTCATTTGATCCTCACAAGAAATCAAAGAGTAAAGTGCTACTGTTATCCCCATTTGACTGTTACACACGGCAGTAAAAAGTGTGATGGCAGAGTCTGAACTTAGACCTTCCTATCTCCAAGTCTGGCGCTTTTTAGCCAATACACAACACTGTGGCCTCAATTAAAATCTCATGTCACTACTTTTGTATGGAGCTAATCTCCAAAACAGGAAAAAACCTCGATTCAAATCTCACCTGAGACATAATGGTCATATGACCCCCAAGTCACAATTTAAGTGCTCCATGCAACTTTCCAAGACCATAAAGTTGCAGAGAAAAGTGCTAACCTGCAGTGTGTTTCCTCACCGGGAAGGTGTTCCCTGGATCATAGACCCAGTCCCTATCTCTATATGAAAGGTACCATTTAAGATACAAAGGTCAAGACATATTTACTAGTTGGAGGAATCTGAGACAAAATTATATTTAAAGTTAACTACAAGGCAGAATTCTAAATAGCTAAAAAGTACTGAGTGCAATGAAGCAGTTATAAAGACTGGTTGTAGTTGGGATGCTCAGGGAAGGAAAAGAGCGGATCCTTGAAGGACAAAATGAAATTTCCATCAGGCAGAAATTGAGAATATACTTTGAAGAACAGCAAACTAGGGAATGACTGAACAAATTATGGAGTGAATGTAATAGAGCACAGTGCCTTAAAGATGAAAGGGACCGTTTCAGAGAAACTTGGAACAACCTGTATGAACTGAGAATAATTGATGGAACATTATAAAGACAAACTTGTTATCAATTCAAACAAAGTGAATGACCAACCAGTACTGAAGATCCACCTCCTGAAAGAGTAATGAACTGCCTACACTTACATACATACACTCTGGATGTGGCCCCAGTGAATGCTATGCTTAATTATGCACATTTACATGGGTTGGGGGGGGGCACGTATTGTTTCCTTCTTTAAAGGAGAGTTAGGGATACTGAAAAGAAAAAACGAAATGCTTGTTAATGGAAAAAAAACCAGGGAACCCCTCAAGGTTTTTAAAGAAAATGAACTTCCACTGTGAGTCTCACAATACCCAAGATCAAGAAACAACCTCAGGTTAAATAATTTGCCCAAGTGGCAATGCTGCCATAAGAACCCCAAGGTCTTTTTATTCCTATTATTGTCACTATACCAAAATTTTTTATTTTATCTGGCAAGAATAATCATTTTGCAATAGAGGGAAAACTTCGAATAGTGCTAATTCTCATTAACCTTTGTTTTCGAGTTCTTGTAAGATGCTGTCCTACCCTGTTCTTGTGAATGGTTAAATTTGAAGAAGACATGCTAATTCATCCAAGAACAATAGGGGGCAACAAAGGTGAAAAAGTTGGAATGAGCACTGTTTAATTTACCATTGGCCATAAATATCCTAAGCATCAGAATCGTATTGCGTAAAAGGTTTTCTGTTCAGTATATTTATATTTATTTATTTATTTATAACCTAATGTATCTTTCAACTGAGATAATGTCCAAGTGCTTACTAAACTCTGCCTTTGTTGTAGAAACTGAAAAGTATTTGATCCTGCATCATCAAATACCTGCAATAGGCTATAAAGTATAAAGGTTAAATGTGAATTCCAAAGTGAAAACTTCTCTAAATCCCAATTTATTTTCAAATAACTACATGGATTGAAAATTTTTTTTAAATTCATCTATAGAACTAACTGCAAATCTATGCAAATCACAATATAATATTCAAGTCTCATTCTTTAGTCAAGATTGTTACTCAAGAATAAAAAAAAGGCACTCATCTAGTAGGGGGAAAAAAAAACCAAGTTCAAGTCTTTAGTATCTTCTAAAACTTCAACGCCCTCTGCTGGCTTTTCTGCATGCCTTTCAAATACAAATGGAAAAGGCACGAGATCCACTGGTTTTTTTTTTTCCCTTAAGAACTAGGATGAACTCCAGGGGGGAACCCCTAAAGGTATCCCTAGTTCCCCCTTAAATGAAAACAATCCATATGCACTTACCTTTTCAATGCTTGCCTGCATTTTTGCTTTAATATCCTCTAGAGAAGTGGGTCCTTTGGGAGTCTTGGGAGTCTTGTCCTGCTTTTTGAAGGATTCTTGACCCTAAATGTTTTTGGAGAGATTCCAGTTTAGTTGATATTCGATGATGTTTTAAAATACATTACAGTCTAAAGGTCATCCTGTAAACTATCAAAAACACTGAAAATGAATAAAAGTCCTTTCTCCAGCTTTAAAGCACTTTAAACAATAGAACCTGCTAATCAAGTAGATCTACAGGATAGGAAACAAGGCACTAACGTTTTTCCCAGACTAAATCTATAAAACTGCTTATAAGAGTACAGCCTCAAAAACAAGATAAACTGATAACACAGTATGCTTTTGTACAAGAGGATTATAGAGCTTATAGAGCTGGACTGAGACCTGGGAGATAACAGCGTAATTTCCTAGTATTTTAGGTGAGCCACAAGAAGTGGCATGCACAGCTGGTATTCAAAACAAGCTCTCTCCTGAATTTAAAATTCAATGCTTTTCATTCTATAACTCACTCATACCACAACCCCACTATCCACCTTTGTGATCAAAGCAGAATGGCTTAGTAAAGCAGACAGGACTGAGGATGGCCCTTAGTGAGGAAGACGTGAGATTTCAGGTCTGGTCTTTGACCCATGTGGGCTCTGTGGACAAGTCACCTAAACTTTCAGTGCTTTTGGAAACTGTGTATTGCAAAAAGACTGATGTTGGGAAAGGGTATTCCTCCTATCAATGAAATCACAAGTGCCGTCTAGACATTTGTTGGATTAGATTAGTTCTATATTGGCTGTGAAGTTGGTACATTATTACAGTACTACTAAGTTGTTTCTGATTACTTACTTTTGATTTTGGCGTGGACGGCTTTGAATCTTTCCCATTCTGGTTTGATTTTTGTGCATTTTTGGCTGCAGTATCACGAACAGACTACAAATACAAGTTCAATCCTTTTTAATAAAGACTCCTAAAGATTTTATTTGCAGAACTTTCTCATAAGCACACCAAAAAACATTTAGTATAAGCTCCTCTGTCCTAAGCATAATCTATGTTATGATATATTCCAACCCCCATATAGTGCATTGAATTCTGGGCCGTTTAATCCCACCCAATGTGTTTTACAAGTGCTTACCGACAGTCACAAGGAGGACAACCCTAGTTATATTTATTCCATGTGAGTATGCAAAGGCCTTCTCTCACAAAGCCTAGTTTCATGTTCAAGTATCAAGAACACCAGAAATTTCATTACTAAGGATTATAAGAGGTAAGAGTTAATAGCTGTGGTTCTATGGTAAGAAACACTTACTTTCTTCACTGGAGGAGTCTTTTCTTCACTTTCCTCATCTTCAAAGTCATCATCATCATCACTACAAATGTAGAATGTGTATTACATCGATTAAATTACATGCACTTAAATAGCCCACCATTTTTGCTACCTTAAGAAATCAGCATTAAAAACGAGGCACTCACCCAAAATCAGTGTTTTAATTCACTGTTCTAAAATGTTTTGAGAGTCATAAAGCTCATCATTTTGAATCCCCTTTTCAGCAAAGGCCTACTGTAGTTATAGAAATGTTGTTTTTACCTGTTGTCAGGGTTCTGAAGGTTTGTTTACAATTTATAAAAATTCACTGCCTGCCACTCACTCCCTTTTCTACCACTTTTTGCTACCAGCCTTGTTTTTCTAGTAATATTCTTTCTGATTGTCGAAATAGGGGGCAGCTAGGTGGTGCAGTGGATAGAGCACAGGCCATGAATTCAGGAGTCAAATCCGGCCTCAGACCAAACACTCGACACTTACTAGTTGTGTGACCCGGGGCAAGTCACTTACCCCTAACTGCCTTTAAAACAAACAAAAAAAACCTGATTATTGAAATAGACCCATTATACACAGTCACAGATTTATAACTGCTGTTCACTCACAAGGGTATTTAACACTGACCCTCTAGATTTGTTCTTGAATGTCCTCGCTTCTAATTGTAGCCTAGTCAGTGTCTTGTTTTTATGGATAATTGGCTTTTTTAAAAAAGAGTAAATATATTAAAACAGTAACATGAAAATATCTACTTAACCTAGAAGAGATAACATGATAAAAGCCTGCCAATTTGTGTCCTACATCAAAACTATTACTTTTGTTGCTACAAGCTTTAACCTCATTACAAATTATGAACAAAACTCTGCAAGCAAATCTTTTGCAGAGACTTCCTTGAGAAAAAAATTTCACTATACATATAAATTTTGACTCTTAGAAGATAGGAAGTAAAAAGTAATAGCAATTACTACTGAAACGATACAAGGCCAAGGATCCATATTAACCTTTGTTACATAGGGTACCCCAAAAGTCTTAGTGCACTTTTAAGCTTTAATAACTTATTCAACAATTTCTTTCCACAAACATTCAGGGTATTTAACCCTGGCATCATGAGAATGACAAACCAGAACTGAGCTCTACTTGAGTTTCCCAGAAACAGTACTTCCCCGTGAAATAAATACTTACTCTTCATCATCATCATCTTCTTCATCATCATCTTCATCTTCTTCAGACAGTTTTACCTTTTTCTTTAAAGAAATAAGGGATAGAAATAATTATCCTAACAGGCAAATAACAGCTTACACACATCAGAAAATATCAAGTTGCATTTATACCTGTGGAACCTTGCTAGCAACTCCAGGAGCAGATCGTTTGCCAGACATATTTAAGAGTTTCATATCATCTTCCTCTTCATCATCTGATTCTGCATCTTCCTCCAGTGCTAAGAAAAAATTTTGCGTTAGTTGTGGCTAAATTTAAATTCTAAGTACTTTTCTTGCCTTAAACTTGAGTTCAGGAGAGGAAAAAAAAAACTGAACACATCATAATAATAAATGCCTTACAACAACCCACAGTCAGATCCCAATTCTCTAGTCATGCTGGTGCAAATAAACAGTATTTAAAAAACTTTAAGTTAAACTGATAAATTGAGAAGCTAATCTTTTAACTGGAAAGAAATCATAAGCAATCTTTACTAATGTATCATAATCTCAGTCATAAGGAAATATATCTAAACATATATGACAGCTAAAAATATCATCCAAATTTTAGAGAAGTCCTTCTAAAGAGTAAATTAATTTTTAAAGAGCACGACAGACTACATACCTACTAGGTGCTGGCCACTCACATGTACAGGTCCCGAACCACATTTCAACCGCAAAACTACTGGTGGTGTAATCTCAAAGCCTCCTAGAGAAACCTGAGAGGGGAAAAGAGCCAATTTATGACCAAACACTATAAAGGGGAAATAACACGGAAGAATCAAGGCCTTGTGAACATTTAAAGTATAAGTTTATTTTCCCAAACAGAAGTCAAACCCATATCTAGCCACTTAAAAAGTTAAAGCCATAAAAAAAAACACAATATTTTTTCATAATTTACCCTTTTCTTTTAAACCGTTACTAGAGCTAACTGACCATAGTCAATTTTCATTCTCTAGGCCTCTTTGATAATAGTACTAACTGATGAAATCATATTTATATGCAAAGCATGTATGTGCACAAGGACACTACCCCTCCCCCACCCCCGACTTCAACATCTTGTTACATGATTGACCCTGGATTTTCAGTGGCAGCCAGGAAAAGTGCCAACTGGTACAATCTGGAAAAGGCTTCAGGGTACAGGCTTGATGATCAAGCGTCCAAGGAGTAGGCTCAGATGAACTTAAGAAGCTTATAATGCCACAAGATTCATGAAGGACAATCAAGTATTTATTAAGTACTATGTGCCACACATACACTGAGACTACAAAGGCAAAGATGAAACCATCCCTATATTTCTCTATATCTCACCAAGAGACTAACACTACTGACTGTACAAAATGAAATCAAATTTGGAATAAGGTACCAGCAGCTAGGAATGAAAAAAAGAGATGGCATTTTATTTTACCTGAGCTTTGAAGGAAACTAAGAATGCTATGAGTGCAAGGTGAGGAAGTACACTGAAGGTGTGAGGAACAACTACTACAGAACAATGAAATCCTGTATCTGAAATACTGAATTTTGAGCAAGCAGAATTCATTACTTGGCTCTACTGTTTATACACTAAAACTATTAAATTAGCCTAAGTAAGTAGAGCCAGGAATATACTACCTTTCCAACTAGTAATGGACTTGAAACCTGAGTAATACAAATACCTTCCAGATGCAATTTAATTAAAATTTATTCATTGTCTAAATCACATAGCATATCAATCGGAAGATATTACGTAGTGAATAAAGAAGTCTTTGAAGTACCTACATGAAAAGCATAGTGTCTCAGTCAGAAGACCTAGGATGAAGTTCTACCTCTGACATATACTGGCTGTGTTAACCCTGGGGAAGTCACTTGACCTTCTCGGGGGCTCTAGGAAACTCAAGACTGAGTTGCAAGGGAAGATGAGGACCTATTTTAGCAAACTGATAATTATACTGAGTCCATACCTCATAGGGTGTAAAAGGTTTCTTAAAACTTTAAAACACTGTACAAATGTCAGTTATCAATTCTGGCTCTGAAAAAAAAAAAGCATCAAAGCAGAAATCACAGAATACTGGTACAAACCCCTAGTGGGGATATGTGGTAAGAAATGGCACCAAGCCGTAATCTTAATGGGATGGCAAAAGAATGAATTATATAAGATTATAATCAATGGAGTTACCACTTGAACACTTAACAAAATAATCAGAGAAAAAAAAATTTTAAGATCTTACTGTAGGCTGCACAGACATTTTCAAAGATGCCAGTGTTACTTTAATTGGATTGCCTTCATAGTTCAGCGCCTCTGCTTCAACAATATGCAATTCGTCCTTTGCACCAGCTCCTAAACTCACCTGTTAATGGAGAGATGGAAAGCAACTTTTTAGTAAATCAATTTAAAAAGCTCCTAAATCAACTAGTTACTCGGTAAAATAACACTGACGGACCAAAACACTGTCACATGCATCATCGTGGAAGTCTGTCACTTTTCTTAACTTATAAGCACTTAAGAAATGGAAAGCTGTGAACACATCACAAAATCAAATAGATGAACCATTACTTTCATTCTGAATACTCATGTACAACATGTACTGTCATGAGTACTTAGATAGGCTTATTCTTGACCTGTATGAACAGAATGACAGTTATTCCTCAAGTAACAGTATGGCCACTAAGAAACTTAGATTTTTTCATCCTGTTAAAGAACAAAAGGATGCAAAAGGTAAATGTAAACAATGAAAATTTACTTACAGTCCTCAACGACAACTGGTGTTCATTTTCATCATTATCTACCTTAAAATGATAATCTTTGTCAGCCTTTAGTTCACAACCTGAAAAGGAGCAGAGCCATAGTTTTAACCAGTTAGCTCTTAAGTAGCAAAAGACTCATCCCTTATAATGTGAACATTATCATATCACTTATTCTGAGACTCAGTTTTCTCATCTGCAATATTTGCTCTACCTTCACCTTAAGGCTGCATCGAGGAACATTGGTTTATAAAAAGCACAATGAATACGTCATGTTTTTAAATCTATAAAAAAAAGATTAAAATCAGAGCCATAAATTTAAACAGCGGGACTGGAACAAATTTGTCCTTGTAATTTTCCCCAAGTGGAATTTGGTATTTGTTTCAGAGGGAGCGAGATCCATTCTGACGTACAAACAGGTTGAGGGGCGGAAGGGGACCTGAACCCTTTTCATCCCTACTCCTTCAGTATTTTTTCGACTCTTTATCACAACGTTAAAAATTTGTTCAACTTCTTTCATCCAACCAAGAAGCATTTTCAAGGTACGAGGGATGCCACAAAGACCCCTCCGCCAAAAAAGGCTGTCTTATCGAGAGAGCAGAGACAAAAAGTGCCCAGAACGGAAATACAGCTGAGTACAAAATGACACAAATTCAGCAATACCAGCCAGAGAACGGGTTCCCGTACAAATGAAATCACAACACACACAGTAAACTATCCACCTCTACTCTACCCTAAAACTAAACCACCACAGCAGGATGCCTCCAAGTGCCATTTGAATCACGGACAGATAACCAGAGATTTTTGCATTTACGCTCCCTCCCCCCCCTCAGGCCCTGCGGCGAGCTCCTCAGCACACCCACGGCCTGGATGCTCCGGAGCTGCCTTCCGCCCTCAGCCCAAGGCCTCGAGGGCGCCACGTGCAGCCCGCCGGCGGCCCCGTAGCACCTAGGTTTTCGGCCCACGTGCCCCCCCCTCCCCCGGGAACGGGCCCAGCAACGGTGGCGACCAAGCGGGTCCCCGCAGAGACGCGGCTGCGCGGTGCCGCCGGTGGCCTTATTAGAGAGGGAGGAGGCCGAGCAGAACTAACCCAGACGCAGGGCTGCCGCCGACCCCTCCCTAAGCCCCTCCTCACCCTCCGCCGCTCCACAGAAAACCAAATCCGGGCCTCTCGGCCGCCATCCCCTCCCCCACCGTCGCCAGGCCTGCAGCCTTCGCCTCCACGGCCCCCTCCGCATCCGTCACCAGCCACCCCACGCGTGGCGTAAACCCCCTTCTCCAACACCCGCCCGCTACAGACAAGCTGCTCCCTGGCCGATGAGCCCAGTCTGCATTTCAGGGGCAGGCTGCCGGCCCTCAAGGCCCATCTAGCGCCCAGGCTCGGTCTCCAACAATCGCCCCCCACACACACACACACGTATAGGCCCAGGCTCGCGGCTGGCCGCCCCGCCCCCAACCCAGCAGCCGCCTCCAAATACGCGGCCGTTACCGAAGAGGAAATTCTGGGGCCGGAGGGGGCTCATATCCATTTCCATTGAGTCCTCCATTTGAGCAGCGATACTGAAGAGAGCAGAGCAGTGCGGAGAAGAGAGCGGCGAGGCGGACGGACAGAACAGCTCCGGCTCCCGAGGGGCTCCGCTCAGGACGGAATCACACCAAGGAAAGGACGCGGGCTCCCTGCGCACACATATAGTCCCTCACAGATCTCGCGAGATCTGACACCGTGAGCACGTGCACGGGCGACCGGTCTCGCTCTCCGCGCGCCCTCGTCTGCCAGCCTCAGAATGGACTTGGTGCGCGCGACGCCGCCTGCCTGCTCCGCCCGCGCGCTCCCGACGTCAGCCGGAACGAGCTCTGCGCCGCCATGTCCTCGCCCCGATCACACGCTAGCGCACACGGGCACGCGGCCGGCGGGCGCTCTAGACCCCGGCGCGCCCCCGGCACGGTGAAAACAGCGCTGGCGACCCTGCGCAAAATGGCGGCGGCGCCCCCCCCCCCCCGCCACAGTCCACAACGCACCCCCGGCCCCCGGCCCCAGTATTTCAGTCTTCTTCCCGAAGAACTCCGCCAGAAGGAGAGCCCCACTCCTTTCATCCTACTGACCAGGGTCTGCTGGAGAAAGGCCTTCAGCTTCAGCTGTCCACGGCCTCCTTCCTCGGCCCCTGAGGCCTCGGGGAAAATCAGGGCCCCGGCCTTTGGAGTCGGATGACCCGCCTCGGGGAGTCCCCTGTGTGCCTCGGGGGCGTCGCTTGACCTCTCTGGGCCTAGAGGCCCCGTCTGCGCAATGAGCGTTAGCCTGATAACCCCTCCCGTTTCCCTTTCCCGTCCCAGGTCCGCCGGGAGGGAACCGAAAGGGTCATTTGTTGTTGTTCAGGCTTGTCCGGCCCTTTGTGACCTCGTGGACCGTGGCACACCAGCACTGCCCGTGGGGTTTTCTGGGCAGAGATGCTGGGGTGGTTTGCCACTTCCTTCTCCGGCTCATTTTACAGATGGGGAAACTGAGGCAAACAAAGGGAAGTGACTTGCCCAGGGTCACACAGCTAGTGTCTGGCCAGATTTGAGCTCAGGAGGATGTTTTGCTGACTCCGGGCCCAGTGTTGGCCCCGTAGGCACCTTGGAGGCCAGTTAGTCCAACTTCCTTATTTCAGAGTTTCCAAAGAAGGCAGCAACTTGCCCACGGTCACACCCGTAGCAGACCCGGGATCTTAATTCACGTTCTGTGATTCCATGAGGTAGAATTTGAACCCTTGTCTCCTGATTCCAGAACCAATATACTTTTCATTGTACTTACACTACTTCCCCTCTTGCCATAGCGGGCTCTGGGTTAGCAGAGAAGTAGGATTCATTGCACTGAATTCTATCATGTTAAGAACTGTATGCCCTTAAAGCAAGTTGTCCCTTGTGTTGGATGAGTCAGTGTAAACGGGTATGGCGGATAGACAAATGAACAAAGCCGAGAAATAACTAGTAGGAAATGGACAGGACCATGTCTGGGAAATTGGGAAGTGCTTCAGAGTTGTCCCACTTCATCGGAAGAACATTATTTCTCCAACATCAACATTCTGGTGGTTCCATCATCATGGAAGAGTCAAAATTACAGATAACTAAAGGAGAAGCCAAATGGTGGGTGAAGGCGAGCTGCACGGAGTTAGCAACAACCATGTACTCCAGAAGTGGCATTGAAGAGGAAATTAAAGCCACAAGTGAATGAAAAAAGGCATGGGACTGGTCTTAGCAGTGAGAATGCGGGACCACAGATTGACAGCCTGACTTAAACTGGTTCCCCTGAGATTTTTTTTTAAATGAAAGGAAGGTCTATAGGATTCAGGACAAACCCGCTTAATATCTCAAGATGAAAGCTTAAGGGAATGGTGGGGTCAAGTAAAGACTTTTTAAGGACATGCCCAACTCTAACATTGATGCTAGATGACTGGATGAGGCACTAGGCCTGAAGTCAGAAGACCTGAATTAAAATCTGGCCTGAGACATTTACTGGTTGTATGACCCTGGACAAGTCCTCTGTTAATCTCTGTTTGCCTTAATCCACTGGAGAAGGAAATGGCAAACCACTCCAGTATCTCTGCCAAGAAAACCCCATGGACACTATGGTCCACACATAGCAAAGTGTGGGACTGAAAAACAACAAAGACTCTAACATGGTTGTAAACATTGGGAAAAGAACCAGTAGGCAGGAAGACATTGAAGGTGATAGAATGAGATAAATTCCAGTTCTGTCATCTAGTTGGTGATCTGTCAAGAAGCACTGAAATCCTCCTATTCACCTGGAGCTGTGCTAAGCACTGGGGATACAAAACCAAAATAGTCTCTGCCTATTACATTATATATATATGTGATCTAGGCTCAAGCAGAGGCATTAACTTTGTTAAAAAAGTACTACCCCATCCCCAAAGAGTGATGCACAGAAGAAGAGAACTGAAGATGTGTAGGAGGTTTTTGTTTTTCGTTTTGTACAGAAGTTTTGAGATGTGGAGTTAGAAGAGATAAGAAAACTAGTAACAAATAGCCTTAGTTTTCTCACTAACTAGGAGGCAAGGTCATCTGTTAAGAAGAATCGAGTGAAAATTACTTTGGGGGTCTGATGAGGAGGAGGTTTAGAACAGCCATGGCTGGATATAAGACAGTCAAATAGGGAAGAATAAAAGGATCATTGTGCAGTGGTAAAGGCCCAGTTGAGATTAGATAATGGGAATATGTAGTGTCTCAGCACAATAGCATGACTTCAGTAGCATCCAGCACCTCAAAAACAGGAGCAGAGAAAGCAAATGGTCATGGTAACCCAGGGCTGATAACTGGCAGGTTGTGGCTATAAAAGGACAAAGGAGAAAAGATTCAAGGGCACAGTACAGTGCATATAGGTGAACTGGTTACCATCTAGGGCCAAGACTGGAAAGCGAAGACTGAAGCCAGAACTTTCAGGCTGGGAGATCAGGGAGGGATAGAAGAACTGAAGGTAGTCATGAGGTTCAGATGGGTTCAGGAGAATGAAGGCCGGGGGTGAGAGTAGGGAGCAGATTATGATAAAAGTGGTGGATTTCAGAGTATAAGGTCATAGATATGGCACAGTTTTTAAGTATGAATTCTGCCTCTGCCACCTACATACTGGGTGACCTGGGCAAGTCACTTAACTCCTCTGGACTTCACTTTCTCTATCTGAAAATGAGGGGGTTGGGCTTGAGTGTTTACTGCAATAGCCTTCTGACTTGGCCCCCTCCTCAAGTCTTTCCCCACTCTAGGCCATCCTCCACTCAGCAGCTAGAGAAAACTTCCTGAAGTGTAGATTTAACCATGTCCACCTCCTCTCTCTGCCTCGATTCAACAAACTTCAGTTAAGTATAACATTCTCTGGCTTTTAAAACCTTTTACAAACCTGGCCCCTCCCTACATTTCTAGTCTCACACTTTACTCCCCTCTGCTTACTATAAGATCTAGCAATACCGACCTCACTGTGTACCTTGAACAAGACAGAATAAACATGATTTACAAGAAATTTAGCCCAAAATGGAGAACAATAATTGATTTGGTTCACAAACTGGAGTCCAATTATAATTGCAATTTCATAATTCCCCCTTTTATTCCTTAAAAGATTTGTCTTTAATAGGTCACTTCATTGTATGGCTAAAGCCTTGGTTACCAAAACACAGTAACAAGGTTAAAATAAATTGAATCATCTGAAAGTCAATTCTACATTGTCATGTTCTGGACCAAGGTCTTGAGCTAACATAAAATTCTTAGAAGTTAAGTTTGAGCAAGCTTTGGTACAACAGATAATACAGATTGAATACAGTAAGGCAGAAAAACAACCACGAGGGTTAAGATAAGGAGATTCCATTTGATTATCATAGTCAATATGCCTCTTCCTGAGAGCCAGGAGAAAAACCAAGAAAACCTGGGGGAGAAAAGTCCCACTTTGTCGTGTAATGAATTATTTTCTCCACTGAGCTTTCCCAAGTCCAACATTCCCATAGTAGTGAAAACATCATTACAGAAGCAGAAAAGATAGGTTAAGGTATCAAAGGGAGTTCATGAAAACAACCTTAATTCTTATTGTCTATTTTTTTAAAAGTTTGATATAATTCAGTTAAGGAGGGATAGAAGGTCAGATAGCTAGGCATCTTGACTCTTAAAGAACAGATGCTATAAATTTTAAATTAGTGGGGTCTGTTAAGTTTTCATCAAATTTTGATCAATGTTTAATTCATCTCTACTTGGATGAGGTTGGATTTAGGCATTTGATTAAGATATGGAAAATATACTTATTAAAATTATTCTTGGGGGCAGCTAGATGTCGCAGTGGATAGATAACTGGCCCTGAATTCAGGAAGACCTGAGTTCAAATCTGGCCTCAGACACTTGACACATACTAGCTGTGTGACCTTGGGCAGGTCACTTCACCCCATTGCCTCACCAAAAAAAAAAAACCAACTATAAAAATTATTCTAAGATGGTGAAATGTCTCAAATAATTTAAAAATGACATTTACAGTAAATCTTATAATGTTTCATAAACAAATCATTCCTATAACATAAACTTATGGGAGTTAATTATTTTATCTGGAAATTGGGAACGCCTTTTGTTTGAAAAAGATGCTAATTTTAAACTGGATTTCCCTTCTTTTTACTAATACTCTATAGGTCCTGGTTACAGATTAAACTGCATTTAGAATACAAGGAGACTTAAAGTAAAATAATGAGAGAAATTATTATTAATAACCAATGATTTGGGGAGATCCAGAGCTCCCCCTTTTTCTAAAGTTCTCATTTCAAAAGTTCAGTTTCTGAAGGACATTGCTGATAACAAATTCAGATTAACTTTCTTTTAAAATTTTTTTTAGCATTTTTATTTAAAGTTTTGATTTTCAAATTCTATCCCTCCCTCCACACCCCCCTTCCTGAGATAGTAAGCAATCAGATATAGGTTATACATGTGCAATTGTGTAAAACATTTCCATATTAGTGATTTGTACAAGAAGACTGGAATAAAAGAAAAAAAGAGAAAGTGAAAAATAGCATGCTTCAATCTGTTTTCAATCAATATCAGTTCTTTCTCTGGAGGTGGGTAGTGTGCCTCATCTTTAGTCCTTTGAGACTGTCTTGAATAATTGTATTGCTGAGAATACCTAAGTCATTCTAGTTCTTCATCAAGCAATATTGCTGTTGCTGCGCACAACATTC